AGCACAGCCAGAAGCTATAGAAAGAATGGTGAAAGAAAGGTGTGTGCCCCGGTGTAATTTTCTTGGTGATGTTATAAGCCCTGACAGGCCCTGAAACCTCCAAAGAGAAGAGGCTTGAAGTGGAAGAGCCAATGCCAGCAGAAGCTGAATGCAGGCAGAGAGGTAGATAGAGGACAAACAGGAACCCTGTTCTGCTTAAGTACAGCCTCTGATAATTAGGTCGAACAGTCTTCCCAAATGTACCCACAGTCTCTGCCTCCTTCAGCATTAATCCTTTATCCAGCCTATATTGTTCGTCCTACTGTAGCCCATCAGTTCTTTGCTTATCTCTTCCTTTCTGTGTTTTCACCCTCTCTTCTCTCCCATCCTTTTCCTCTGAAAAAAATATTTTGCAGGCTACAATTAGTTCACTTGGCTGAAGTCTTGTTGGGCACAGCAGGAAGTTTTCTGGATCACTCATGGGTGGAGTTTCCCAAAATCATCAATTTGTTATTAATGTTGTATAAACAGTGGGCCTGCCAAACCCTGAATAGCATGAGGCAACCTCAAAATGTTGTACCTCCTCACAGATTTCTCTCGTGGGTCACCTAACGCAGCACAGACACCAAGACCTCCCCAGTCACACAGCAAAAATGAGCATGGGCATAACCTCAGCACATGCTGGGAGGAATCTGCCTCATGTCCATTTGTTTCTTTTGCTCAGCCTGAAGCACTGGTACTGATACTGTCTGGTAGATGCCTGTTCAAGCAGCCATGAGGAGCCATGATGGATAACTCAGAAGTGCAGGCGCATTTTCAGAGTTGCTCATTTCTGCCAGCTGTGATGGGATAAGGAGCTGTGTAATAACAACATTGTTTGCAGCAGCTATGGGACTGAGTTTGAATCAGTACATTGTCTGCAAGAGGATTTTAAGTAAATAATACAGTTGATCAGCACTAATATGGCTTGATATACAGAATCACCTCACTCATTTGGGAGCCCTTGCTCCTGGTTGGGAAAGCGGTGGGCAGGAGTTCCTATAATTATTTCAACCACAGAGTAGGAGTGCCAGAAAGAGCCTTCATTTCCTGCATTTCTTTTTCAAAGAGGCCATTCCCACAAATTTCACAACATCTGAATGGAACTGTCCATGCTAGGTATTCTTCCAGGATTTGAAGAAACAGATGAAATCTGACCTACTCCCCACTGCCCTTTGGATGTTTGCTGGACACCTTCTGGCACCAGAAAGCATACAGACAGCTGATGGGAGCAAACCACTATAGGAGACATTTCTTCTGAGGACAAAGGCAGGCCACTCAGTGAAAGCTTTAACAGAGAATGACCCAGGCCAGAAGAAATGTGGATAGAGTGGGACCAAGACTAGCTCAGCATGGGCACTGAGACTGGGGTGAGAGAAGAGAACCACTGAGTGGATGGGGACAGTATAAGACAACAAGGAGTTTGAAGCAGGACTGAGGAGATTTGTAATGCTGGGAAAAGTCAAGCTTGGGACAACAGGAAGAAACTACCCTTGTCCATTAGGCCCTGTTTCCTACCAGTTTGCAGAGCAGCCTCTTGCTCAGTTAAATGACTGTTGATCCACTTGCTTGGTCTCTTCCCCAACTGTGCACTTTCCCTGTGGCACAAGTGATAACACCCTGCTAGTGCAGTTGGTTGCTCCACCTGCTCCAGAGGCAAACATCAATGTGGTTAACCTGTAAAACACCAAGAAAATGCACAGAGAAAACTATCTGGAGGTCTGAGTTAAAATCATTTTACTAAGGCAGCTCCTGAGAACTGAATTTTATCTCTGCATCTGTATCATCAGCCTGGCAGCTGTACTCTGTGTAGGAAGCAGTGGGATGAAGATCTGAAAAAGGCTGGCAAGGAGGGGGTGTAAAACCCAAAACCTGGAGACTGTGAAGTTATAAGCAAATGGTTTGAATTCTTGGTTGAGATGTGAGAGATGCTACAGGGGAGAAAGCAACAGAATTAGAAGCAAGAGACAGTGAAAAGCAGTGCTATGGTTATAGATCCATTCAATAGCTTTTATGTCAATAGGAAGATGAAGAGGTGAGGGAAGAGCCTTTAAAGGGAAGGAATTAGCTCTGCGTTAAAACTGTGAGAAGCAGAAACGTGAAAAGCTGCAGATGAGGTTGCCTGCTATCCTGCCTGGGAAAAGGGTTCTGCTATCTAACCATGGGTTTATGAACCATAGCTCATGTTTATTTGTTGCTCTTCCTATTCGATTTTATGATGGTGAGTGCATCCTTTTGCATTTTTAAAATCAATGTGATGCTTGCAGATTGATTTGCCACACTAACATCCTCTCTTGATCTATTCAGGCTCTAATGAACAGCTCATACTGACTTCCTCTCATGTGTTCATGACCCCGCTGACTCCAAGGCATTTTCCAGCCTCCTGAATACCCTGTGGCACCTTTCCCTTGCTCCCTTCTTGCTGGTGGCACTGAGCAGGTATCACTTTGGCTGCTGTGCCTGCTGCTCTGTGCCTGTTGAAAGCAGGAGGTCCCACTCTCCAGCTAGATGCTTCCCCACATGTACCCATCAAGCACTGGAGGCTCTGTGCCATGGAAAGGCAGCAAGCTAAGCACAGCATCATCAGGGAGCCCAAAACGTTTGATCCTCCAACAAAGCCCAGCACTGCCACTAAGAACACTTTACTTCAAGCTGTGCCTGCTGCTTCCCCAGTTTGCTTTCTCCTGAAATCCTTGGCTGTATGGTGAGGGGAGACAGGGCTTGCTTTGCAGTGTACAGCGAGGGTTTGGAGCAGCAGCGTCAGGTAGGTGCAGGGGCAGAAATAAAGGAAACCTGCTCAGTGAACTAGAAATTCCCACACTCTGTTGTCAAACATGCTTGTTCACTGGTGTGGAAAAGGGAAGCTGAGGAGAAAAGAAATTAATTAGAAAGCATTTTAATTGGGATTACAGGCATATGGTGTGCTGCCATTTGTTTTCCCCTTCCTGCTCTGCAGTGGGGCTCTAATACCTTCACACGTTTGCCTTTATTTGTCATGTCAAAAGGGGAGACAGCAAGCGTCTTTTTCCTCCCTCCTCTCTGGGGCCATGCTAACAGCATTCCTTTTGCCCCGAGCTTTGCCAAAGGGACAGTTGTGATTCTCAGCAAAGGTGTGGCCAGGTTGCAACAGCAGATTAAGCAGGTCCAATTTATTTTTATCCAACTTTACAGCTGTTGTTGGAGGGCCTTTGCTATTTCCCAGCAGCAGAAAGGGATGGATTCAAGGGGAGAGAGGGGACGTGATGTCCACAGTACCACATGCACATAATTCACCAGCAGCTGGATTGTTAGGTTTTATTGTTATGATAGTATATTTAGTGTTTTGTAAAAAGCTACTTAGGGAGCTGTTTCCCTTGTTGTACGGCAGTTTGTTAGCTGTAAGATTCAGACATAAGCCTTTAATTATGCCTAGCGTCTCCGCAAAAGCAATTTCAGTTCTCTCCCCTTGCCTCATGTAGCATCTTGGGATGCTCTGCATTTGAATGTGAGCAAGCTATTGTTTAACATGGCTTTAAATCATTACAGAAATGTTCTGCAGCATCCACTGGGAAAGCCTGCTCCCATCTGCCCTCTTCATTTCTCACAGTTGCTTTGGGAACCAGGGCTAGTAATCACAGAAATTCTGTTTAAAGGTCAAGTGCAGAGTAGCGTTATCTTCACAGAGTGTGCAAGCTAGTAACAGGTGAAGGTGTTGCTCAGAAACATTTAAAGAGGAATGTAAAGCTTAAGTACCTTTCACAGCCTTCACATAAGCAGTTTTCCATTCATTTCCCAAAACTGTGTATGACACAGTATAGGCCTTGCAGAAGAAGTTAATGCCCACTTAAAATGTCTCTGCACATTTAAGCCGAACTGAATCTCTCCTGCCTCCCCTGACATAAACCCTCTCGATAGCCTTCAGTCAGCTCAGTGCCATGGCATCCCAGCCTGACCTTAACTCCGAGTCTGCAGCTCCTGAATAAAAGTACAGCTTCTATTTTTCTTCTGAGAAATACGTATTTTTTATTATGGCTTAGACTTGCAGGAGAAGTATAAAACATTGCCTAATGTTATGCAGTATATCCTACATTTGATGCTCCTTTTGTCCCAGAGTTTCTGTTTCAAATAATGATGAAAAAAAGTTGTATTAAATTTACATCAAAGGAAAGTTGGGGAAGCAGAAACATGAATAACAAACACATGCATAATGTGATTCTGAACAAAGAAACCTGTGCCGTCACTGCAGGGATAGGCCATGTGGGAACACATGTATGTCATTGCAGCATATTGCTAACACATGTGGGGGTCATCCAGATACGGCTGGGGGCAGCTGAGATCCCTGTTTGAAGGTAAATTTGATGGAATCTGGTTCGTAGGTACTGTGGCAATGACTGCATTTTACATCTTTATAGAGTGGTTACCACAGTCCTTTATGTGTTATCGTGTAGAGGTTTCCATAAACAGGGTGTGCCAAAGGAAAGGTATAAAGAATATGTAAATAGTCAGTGTAAAGATTCACTGGGATGAAAAATTACAGATGACAATGATGTTCTGAAAGTCGTTTATACACCTCTTTAAAATGAAGGAAAACAACAACAAAATCATGAAATTGTAAGGAATTTTGCCGACCCAGACCGCAGAGTTCCAAAGCAGGTTTTTAGCAGCTTGCTATATTACCAGCTTCTCCAGTGGAACACAGAGCACAGCCAAGGGGCCACGGCTTTGCATGGAAGTGAGGATGCATTTGCCCAGAGCAACTCTAAGGCTCTGGATTCAGGATCTTATTTCAGAGCTCTTCAGCAGGAGCTGAGGACATGCTAGTCTTTTGCAAAGGTAATTTAGACTGTTCTGGAAGTGATTTACCATTTTATACTTGTTACACAGAAACAGACATTCTTGACGTTTGTTTGCAGTACTCCTGGTTTGGTTTCACCAGGTATTTGTAATCTTGAGCAGACAGTGTCTATTATTCTGAATGCATTCCTGCTTTCCTTTATTAGAAGCTCTGTCCGCTGTTCTGCTGTCCTTCATGTCACCCTGGAACTGAGGCAGCACTCCACTGACTGGCTGGTCTTTATCACCATATTTTCCAAATGCTCAGCACCAATAACACTGCAACGAATTTTCAGGAGCAGGCTGCCACCAGCTATGGTAATTACAGTGAAGGCCAAATTCTCAACAGCACCTGGAATATTGCCCCAAATCTGGTTCCAGGCGTGGATACGCACAGTGCTTTCCTGCAGGAATCACAGCCCAGAGTTTGGGAGTCACCTAATTCTGTGCCCCACAGAGGAGTCCCAGCTGGGAGGTGTGTGGTCAGGATGAAGGTGGGAGGTAGGTGCCTTTCACACATGGTAATGATGGTTTGTGACCCATGGGGTGCAACAGAAGGACAGAAAAAAAAGAGAGTCCAGCTATTACAAAAGAATAGTTATGAACAGGAGGAATCCATAAATACATTATGCATTTTATGTTAACAAAATCATGTGACTGGCCCAATGCATACGGGGTTTGATGTGAAATAGCCACCTAAGTTTTGGCACATTATAGCTAAACATACTGTAGCAGGTCTTTAAACCTCGGGCCCCTAAATTGCTTTTAATGGATCTCCAAAAAGTACCAAAGGAAACCAAGATTTAGATGCTAAGATCTTAAATTTCCATCTATATTACTACTGAAAGATGCTTAGAGCTGCACAAATTCAAAACAGTTGGGAAAAAAAAAAATCACTGAAACAGAATTATAATCAACCTTAAAATAGTAGTTTTCAAGACAGTAATGAATAAAGTCAGTTGTAGAAGTAGGTTTCTTGAACTTCTGCCTCACCAAAGGCAAAGCCAAGGGTAAAATAACGAAATCACTGAATGCAGGATTAGGGTTATCTAAGGGCCTCTGTCCCTTCTAATTGACCCTTGAAAGCTATCCTACCTATTTTGGGAGCAGAGTAAATGAAGGCAGCTCACCAGTTTTTAGACTAATCCAAACAAATGTTAAACAGACGAAAAAGAAACCCCAAGGGAGCAAACAAAGAAAAAGTCCCTGAGCCAAAATCAAACAAGCAACCAAAGACCCCTGCCAGTCCTTCGAGGCAGGCAAGGTTGCTCCTGACTGACAGGCAGGTGAAGCTGCTCCAGGTCAGGTGTGATGCAGAAAGCCATGACAACACGGTGATGGACCACTCTGGCATGTGCAGCTCGGTTTGAGTACAAGTCCTTACTCCTCAGCTGTATTTCAGTGCTTGGCTAGCATGGCCCGGGCTGCCATCCCCCAGCTGTACAGGAACTGTGCTCGCAGTGTACCTGAACGCTTGCCCAGCACCCCAACACATGCACAGGCAGTTGCTCGAGCCCTGCTCTGCCAAGGTCAGTGGGAATTTCTGTCACTGAGTTTGGTGCAGGCAGGATTTCCCCCCATGGACACACACACCTCCTCCCGGATGCATGTGCATGTGAGTGTGTATATACATAAGCTTCACAGTACAAAGTACTTACAGGAAGGCATCTTCTCTCTTTAAACTTTTTACTTCAACTTCACGTTGTGTGAAGTCAGACCCTAACTGTCACAGCCGCAGTTTCTCACAGCTTAATGGCGTTACAAACCCTTCTTGCTCCGGACTGCTGCAATAACAATCAGGCTGGGAGGAAGGGGAAATGAGCAGTGTAGCACACGCTGTACCTTCCAGCCACCAGCTATTGTTAAGAGCATGCTGCTCCAGACAGAGTGGCAGCGAGGCACAGGGTGGGAAGCAGGTGTAACCTGCCAGGAACACCAGTCTAGCAACAGTTGACTTAATTGAAACAAGTACCCCTACTTCTGAGCTGCCTCTTGCCACCAAGCTGAAAGAGGTTTTACATTCCTGTTGCTCAACACTTGAAAGTTTAACAAGTGCCTTTATGGCAAACCAAGAGGTCATTTTCTCATGTCGGCACTTTGGTCATTCATCCTCAGAGTCACCAACCATAACATAGCATTTCACCTGCTACAGTCTGCTCTAGGAGGCATGCTTCCAGATGCTTTGCTATGGTTTGGGTTCTTTACAGAACTGCAATCTCTCCTCCTTGCTTGTCCTGCTTGTCCAGCTTGTTTTTCTCCCATTCTCTTCAGAAAGTCCCACTAGCAAAGGCTGCCCAGGCCCAATGGAGTACTTTGCTCAAGCCAGTTCTACACAGGCACAACTGGCCAGGTTTGGACTACTGCTGAGTGGTTCAAGCCCAGTTCAATTACCTCACCCCCTAAATTCAATTGCAGTGTGGTGCTGGAGAACTAGTCTGCACCTGCTGAGCACCTGTGCTGCTCTGGGACACCCTCTAGGATGGTTTATAAACATCAGTGTGATGGTCCTTGCCAATGTGCTTGAAGCCAGTGGCTCACGTTCAAACCCCTTCTTTGCCTTAGTGTGAGTTACTGTCCTGCACTGCAGTATGAAAGCCTATTTGTGATCAGGTTTAGTTCACTGTGCTCGTCATCTGCAGCCTTTGTTAATACCTTGTTTTCAGATACCTACCTCTGTTTGCTGAGCACTCACACACCACACAATGCAATATAAATGAGCGTGTTCTGCCCTGCTGCCACACCATAAACAAGCGTGATCAAAGAACATCACATCTGTGCCCAGTGCTGTCCATTAGGACATTACCTCTGCTCCTTTTCCTCCACTGAGGCCTGGAAATGAAGCACTGCCTCATATACACCCCACTCATGAAATGCCTTCCCTGGCTAGCTGTTCCCTGTCCAGGATTATCCATCACCTTGAATTACCTTGCTTGGCAGGGTAATCACTAGACCCCCAGCATTTTCTGTCCCTTACTAAGCATCTTCTCTACTTGTGCGTTATGTTTCTTTTCTTAGAGTTATTGGTGCTATTTTACCACAGGATCATTTTTGGGTAAGAGAATTCAACCCTGTCTTCTCCTCCCCTCATGCAGCCGCTTTCAACTCCAGTTGGACTCTGCTTGGTTTTCTTCAGGAGTTAGCTCCCAGCTTCCTCAGCTGCCCTTGCATCACATCCAAACAGGGTGACGCTGCCCTGTTCCTGGTAGCTTGGTTTATTTGGGTGATGCTGGAAAAAAAAAATGGAAAAACCCCCTCAAAAGTAGAGTTTCCCCCAAGGAAAGTTCTCTTCTTTAAATAGTCCATTTGCATTTGGGAGGAAAAATACAATTTTAATCTCATTAACATACGATTCCCCAGTCATCTGCACTTCTGAGCTCTGTAGCTATTTTATCTTTGTTCCTAATACATGTGATTTAACTTGGAGCTATGACGTATAGATTAAGACTAAGAAAAGGAGTGGAAACTCTGTCTCCAGTTCAGCTTTATTTCACTCAGCAGCAACACTGGACAACAACAACTTACAAGCAGTTTTGGACTGAACAAAATACATTTGTCCCTGCACTCCAGTGGAGACATCTGTCTGTGCCCTGAGAGCTGCTGTTGTCTCCTCATATATCACTTCCTACTTGTGGCATCACTGCATCTAGTCAACAGTAGCTCGCAGTATGCACTGCCAAGAAACTTTGCAAAAGTTCTGAATTTCACACCAGGAAAGGCCATAAGATGCATTTTGTATGTCAAATGCCTCAGAAACTGTTTCTGTGCTATTGTAAACCAAAATACATGAGGATACAGTTCTATGTCATTTGTTGTGTTTCTTTTTGCTGTGTTGTTTTTGAGTACTGCTATAATGTACCCTAATAGATCATTTCACATTTTGCTTTGCACCTTTCAGCATTGCACTGCTTATGTCTGACTAAGGAATTAAATGGGAAGGGGTAAGAAGCCATCCCCATATGGGACTGGGCTGGCACAGTAGAGGCCACAGCATGTAAACTCAGTGATGTAAAGTCCAGTCTCCTCTGTACTGTAAGTGTGCTTGTAAGAATAACAAACTTGCCTAATTCTTACAGAGGTATAACGACACCAGCCAGTCTCCCCATGTCTGTTTTTATCCCTTTGACGGGTCTGCTGAACCATCTGGGGGACATTGGAATGATGGCTCAAACCAGCCGGGATTCCTGGCTCAGGGGAAGCAAGCGCCACACAGACATGCCTGTACTGCTTCCCCAGAGCCAGATGAAGCAAGAAGTAAAATGGCTGTGTACCTGAGGAGCTAAGCCCAAATCCACCAGCTCTACACAGAGCTGGCTATAACACAAGTGCCCGACCTTCCAACAGGGAAACGGCTGGGACATGGGGCAGAGAAACCCAAGCTGTCTCCACTGTGGCTATGTTGGAGCATGAACCTTACACTTGGGGCCAGCTCTTCTTCAAGCCATTGAAGTGTCAGCGCACTGCACTGCCAGCCCAGCTACTGGAGGATTTATTATCTGGAGTGGAGGACCTGCCTGGGTAGCACTCACTCACTGTAACTGCAGGCAACACACCCCTGCAGAAACCAGAGTGCTGGGAAGGTAACATGGTGATGCCTTAAACCCTCTGTGAGAATCAGGAAAAGTTGTTCCTGTGTTGTCTGTATTCTTTCCATTACCAGGAGTAGCCAACCTCCAGTGAAGGAAATCCACGTCATTTTGTAATGTCAGGAAAACAGACACTTACTACAATAACCCCTGCACTAGCTACTCCACCATTATGCCCTGAAACTCCGGTATATCTGATCATAGATGACATGTATCAGTGGAGAGATGCTTGCCCACAGCTCTCATCTTCACAGTACTTCTTTTTCAACTCCTTGTGCTAAATAGGAGGCTTCAGCATTGAGCTTACTAAAAGCACTCACGTATTTGTTGTGTTCTGTTCCCAGAAGTCAATGATTACTTCAGAGGGAGCAGTGATTCCGGTGCTGACTGTCTCTGGCAGCCCTTCCTCATGGAATATTTTAAGAACCTAAATGGCCAAAAAAATCAAATTTGACTTTTAAAAAATCAAATTATCTAAAATAATAAAAGGAAGTTATCAATGAACATCTTGCTCTGAAGCACTGTTTATAAAGATTAATAAAACATTTACATATTTCACAAAGGAATTTCTGATGGGATTTCTAATTTGTAAGAAAACTTGTCACTAGTGTAGCTTGTCTAAATTGAAAGGAAAATGAATTTCAACATACTGAAAATCCCCCCAAAGTGGAAATTCCCAGTTCTAATCTACTCTGAAGAACACTAACAAAATTTCATATTTTTATGGCAGCAGATCAGAACGGCAGCATTCCTTTCTTCCATATGGCATGGATGATGCAAAATAATATCTGGAGTCAGAAGAAAAAGTAATCTGTGACTAGCTGGAATACAATGAAAAGAGCTTTGTTGAAACGGTCTTTCCAGAGCATCACCCCTCGTGGCTCAGAACCTCACGGCACGAGTTTGGTATAAACTGTGCTATGCCGAACTTCTGCCTTCAAAGCTTCAAACTTCAGGCTTGCTTCTGCACTGCTGTCAGCCAGAGGTGCAGAATTTGCCCCTGGGCAACCTGCTCTGGCTGACCTTGTTCTTCGCAGGGGGCTTGGACTGGGTAGTCTCCAGAGGTCCCTGTCAGCTTTGGCCTATTGCTTAAACAGCCTCTTTTCCCCAAACCTTAATCACAGCTTACCTCCCTCCCCTTTGCTCTCTTCCCTGCTGCCTTCACTCCAGGATCCACTTCCCTGCAGCTAGCCCAGGGAATGCTGGTGGCCACCAGTGTCTACTGACAGGGCTGCCAGCATCAGGCTGCACCCCTCCATGCCCAGCATGACCTTTGTGCTGCCTGGCTGGTGCTTGCACATGGCAGCATCCCCCTGCCCTGCAGAGGGGTTGGGTGGTGGTGTGCAGAGGCTGACTGCACTCCCCAAACACTGAGCTTTTTGCAGCAAAATGGCTGGTTCAAATGGCCTTTTTTGCCAGTCAAGAAGGTCTGTGCTTCCAGGGCTCTGCAGGTGCAGCCATGGCAGCCACTGAGGGAGCACTGCTGTACTAAGCCACAGACCCCACTGGGCAGCACCAGAATAGCCAGTTACTTCATGGCCTATGAAAGAGGGAACGGCCTAAAAGTTACCCTGCACTACTGGCATCAGTCCAAGAGGCTGAGGTGAAAATTCATTTGCAAGAGGATTTTTGCATTAAAATGTTCTGAAATGCAAACGCAAAAGAAAAAAGGCTCATGAGATCCACTGTTCAAATAGTGACAAACAGCAGCCACTGCCTCTGAAGACAGAACTATGTAAAAAAAATATTTGCACAAATCTAAGCAGCTGCCCTGAGCTCACCATTTTTAACACAAATGAGACATTTTTTTGCCATGTTAGACCTCCAGAGATGCTGTTTCTGCTGTGCTCATTTGTCAATTTGTGAGATGAATCTGGGACCTGGGACATCTCACCCAATCTGTATTCATTTTATGGCTGAGTTTAAAGCATCTCTTGCTTATGGAGAAGGAGCTAACTTCTTATTTTTCTCCCAATGATGTATTTAAGTACCCTTGCACACCTATTTTACAAACTTTTTTAAATCAAGCTGTCACTGCCTTGACATGGCTACTTAGAATTAATTTTTCTTAGACCAATATAAATGACATCATGTCTTTGCCTGTCCAAGGAGGGCAAGAACATCTTGTAAGCATAAAATTCCCAAGATCGTTCCACAGACATAGCTATCTACACCCTACAAGCAGTTTTTTGTGTTCTGCGTTCACAGTGGGTTTGGAAGTTATAGAGGCAAACCAAAGTGTGCAGCGATAGTGGTTTGTCTCCCTGTAAGCATGCATGTGAGGATCAGATAATTAGGTAACCAGTGGACTAAGCAGCTGGTATTTCTATCCATCTTGATGAGATAAAAAAATAATTCAGTTTGAATTCCATTTCTGGGAAACTGGAGACTTCTCTGATCATAGTGTCTACTGTGTAGTTCATACTCTCAGGTTTTACAGTGCTGAAGGGTGCTGCAGGCCACAGAGAAGTATTTGCTTTATGGGGCAGTTACATACTTAAAGAGTAGGAAATCACCTTGCATTTATACTAAAGCAAAGAAAAAATGCCATATGCATTATGCAATAAAAAAGTGAATGAATAAAAGCCCACACCCAAAGTACTGGGCTACCTGAGAAAGCAGTTTCAAAACCGAGTGCTGCAGGTAAACTGATCACAAATCAAAGCTCCTGACTGGGAAGTGTTTTGCTTCAGATGCAGGGACTGAAAAGGCATGCAGGGGTAGCTGTCACCCCTGTGACCGGCTGCAGAGCTGGGCCCCCAGTCTGGGATGCACAGCTTCAGGGCAGCACTCAGCACTCCCAGCACCCATCCCGCTCCTGGGCTAAGCTGTACTTTGTCAACCTTAAAGCAATACCTAGAAGAGGGTGGAGACTAATGTCTTTTCCATTGCCGTAAGAGCTCACAAACACATCTTCCTTCCCTGCTCTCCCACATTCAGCAAGGCTGGAGGCTCTCTGGAAAGCAGCCTGGTACGGAGGGACATGGCAGCACTCCCAGGCCAGGGCTGGTAAACACCCGCAGAGAGACAAAGGAGCGCCAGTGCACCAGATGTGCATCACTGGGGATTTAGGGTTGCATCCAGGGGAGGTGATCCAAGAGCCTCTGTAACTCCCATCAGTGCCTGTAAGGCCATGGGTGTTTATCTAACAGCAGCGCTTTCCATGGGACCCACCAAAACAGAAAAGCTGTGCTCTTTGGGCTAGGGCAGGACCCATCACTGCTGTGGCAGAACTGACTGTGAAGAGCTGTCTGGTGTGCTGGGGGAAGCAACCTCCATGCCACGAAGCCAAACGACTGACACCAACCCAAACCACCCGCCTGCCGTTTGCACGGGGCCAGGCCCTATATCTGAGAGCGTGAATCTTTTAGTCAGTTAATTTTATGGCCTGCTGAATGGTTTCTGACCACATGTGAACACAAGTTGCACTACGTTGTTATTTCAGCTCTGAGGAAGTGTTTGCCTTTGAAGCAGCACCAAGGAGAAATCTGCTGTAAAGGGTTTTACTGTCCCTGCACCTGGTGCTGCATACATATCCCACCATGTTTATCACTACAGGTGATTGACAATATGCAGGCTGCAATGGGAAACTGACGTACTATTTGAGGCTGCAAATTCTGCCAGCACGTAGAAGTTCTCAATGTGATCAAGCCCAAGGATCAGTATCCTTAATCCTCAAAACAGTACTCGATTTTAAAATTCACCATCCAAAAAATATCAATAATAAGGGGTATGGTCTACACATTATGGTAAGCTGCCTTTATGATTTCAAGATTTTCTTTTTTAGGCACAAAGGCTGTAAAGGCTGGTTTCAGATCCCTGAAAACCGAGATTGCCATGCAATTGCAAGCCTTGAGTTTCTAGGGTTTAGCAGAAACAACCTATGTCGTGAGATTCACACTAAAATTGGAAGTGAGACAAACTGCAGTGTCACTGCAGCACAGGTGTGCGGAAATGCAGTAGCTTCATCATCATAAAACTAGTTATGCAGTAGAAATGTCTCGTAAGCCTGTACTGTATTCCTTGCAAGTTAGAAAGGACATTCCGTTACAGCCACAGAAGCCAGCCAACAAAACCTGTGGAGCCCACGCTACCCTCCCAAACTCTCCACACTACCAGTACAAAGGCACACGGGAAGTAGTAGGCAAGTGCCACTCAACGCTGCGTTGAGGCTGTGTTTTCTCAGGGACTTTGTCCTGGGGATATTAAGAAATCTTTCCCTTCAGTTTCCGTATCAGGTTTTCAGATCAGCGCTCTTCCCAGCCTCTCCTCCTCCGGGCTGCTCGCAGTGTGGAG